TGTAGGTGTCAGGGTCTCAGGGCGCCCTGCTCTGGAGGTGTTGGGGTCTCAGGGCGCCCTCCTCTGTAGGTGTCAGGGTCTCAGGGCGCCCTGCTTTGTAACCAGAGCAGGGGAGCCACTCCTAGTACAGCCCTACTATTTGCATTGGGGGAAGCTCAAAAAGCTGATAGCAGGAAAATGGACATCCAGGGAAAGGAAAGGGCCTCACTCTTATTGTCCAGTCCAGTCTGGTCTCCAGAACAGAGAGGTGCAGGCTCTGGGTGGGTGCCGGGAGGGAGCTGAGGGTCACTGACTGTGTGCTCCTCCATTTTCCAATGTCCAAGTGCAGTGTAAAAGGCATCACTTGGACACCAAGTTTTTGCTTTATTTCATTTTCTTCCCACTAGAAAATGAACTAGGTGACTGGCCTACTTGCTAATACTTTTACTTTTACTTTTATTTACTTTTACTTTTATGTGACTGGCCTACTTGCTAATAAATCCATTTCTGAGGACATGGGTGGATAGCTATTCATTTGACCTGCTCCTGATCTCTTCTTGATTAAGTCTTTCAAATTTGGAAAAGTGCTTTGAGTCTCTCGGTTTAATAATTATCAGCCTCAAGGAGTGGGGGTTGGTATTTCGGCCATAAGAGATCCATTAGACAACGCTCCCTGGGGTGAGAAGGGATGTGTGTGCATGAGTGTGAGTGTGTGTGTTGGGTGCACAGTGTGACTTCACACATGACCTTAGAGCAGGAAGGGTGGGGCGGGCAGGAGTGGGGGCCAGGCGGCAGCTGGCGCCCCTGCTCCCTCAGCCAGGTCTCAGCACAGGGCTCGCAAAGACAGTAACTGCTACCTTCCAGGGGGCGAGGGAATGGCAGGAGAGTCCAAAAGTCTGAAGTCTCTCCTGGCACGCTGCACCACTTAACGTGGGTTTCCCCCATAAGGACTTCTGGATGGCTCTGAGATATGTGGTGGAGGTGCTAAGCATTCCCCATGCCAAGTTTTTCTACAAACTGGACAGAGGGGCCATCTCTGGTTTCAGGGCTGGTTACTTATAACAGTAAACTCTAGACAGTATTTGAAAAACCAACCCAAAAGCAAGGGCATAACTGAGCATGGTGATGCCAAATGAGTTCCTAGAGCAGGATTTGCTGCTGGTTACTCACCATAAAGGTGTGAGACTGGTCCCTGGCACCCCAGGGACAGGTGTGCCTGGGTGGCGCTGGCCCAGCTGCAGCGGGATGAGGCCTGGACGCTGCAGCTCAGGGACTGTGCTAAGCACTGGACACACTCAAAAGGCCCAACAGGATGTCCTATAACATTCTGGGGTTGTCCTTTGCCTTCTGGGAACCACAAGTTAACTGTCACCCAGTTTCAAGCTGCTGCTGTTCCTCCTGGTGGGTTACTGCACTTCTCTTCGAGAGGACGCATCTGTCTCCACTACTAGAATGTGATTATTTTTTCCTTAAGATTATTTTTCAGAGCAGCTTTAGGTTCAAAGAAAAATGGAGGCAAAGATACAGAGATTTCCATACTACCCCCATCACCATCCCCAGCAGAGGGGTTGTGAAACCTCTGAAGCCGCTTGGACCCATCCTCCCCACCCAGGGCCCACAGCCTGCATCACAAGGACTCACTCCTGGTGCTGTGTGTGTCATGTGCCGCTGACAGGGATAACGATGCACCATCCTAGAATCGGGCAGAATAGTCACACTGCCCTGAAAGCCCTCTGTGCTCTACCTACCCATCCTTCTTCCCCTCGCCCAGCCTCTGCTGATCTTTTAGCGTCTCCACAGTTATACCTTTTCCGTATCTCACAGAAGTGGGATCATCACACAGTATGTAGGTATTTTCAGGTTGGCTTCTGTCACTTAGTAACAAGCACTGAAGGTCCCTCTGTCTTTCATGGCTTGGTTTCCCATTCCTTTTCAGTGCTGACTAATATTCCACAATCTGACTGGCCCACAGTTTATCTATTCACCTACAGAAGGAGGTCTTGATTGATTCTGAGTTTTGGCAATTGGGAATAAAGCTGCCCAAACACGCAAGTGCAGCTGCCTGCGTGGACATGAGTTTTCACTCTTTGGGGAAGATATCAGGGGGTGTACCTGCTGGATCAGACAAACGTAAG